TGCAACAAGGTGGTGGTGAGGGGCTGCAGTTATAAGGCAGAGTGAGAGTATGGGAACATAAAGAATTTTCCCTTTTTAGGTAATCTTAGGAACTGTGCCTGTTTGTATTTGGTCAGGGCCTATGGTTATTTTGAGGTGGGTCGCTTAATGAGCCTGTTTGCATTCAGCTTGGTGGTCACTGTGAGCCCTTTTACCTTACTCAGGTTTCCATTACTCAAGCTTGTTGCCTAAAAGCCACCTCTACAGGATACTGCAAAGCTGATTTGGAGTACTTTTTTACCCATGTGGCATCCAAAAGGAATAGATTCAGTAAAAGTCTGAAAATATGAGACTTGAAGGTTGGTTAGAGTTTAGCACTAGAGATGCAGATTTAAGTGAGTCCTAACCCGTGTTACAGATAGCCTGTTGGATGAACTCATAGAAAGGTAGAAAGAAGCAAGCCTAGGACATCAGCTTAAGCAATCACAGTTAAACAGAATAAGAGGGCGCCTGGGTGGCTCAGTTGGTTAAGCGACTGCCTTCGGCTCAGGTCATGATCCCAGGGTCCTGGGATCGAGTCCCACATCGGGCTCCCGGCTCAGTGGGGAGCCTGCTTCTCCCTCTGACCCTCTCCTCTCTCATGCTGTTTCTCTCTCGCTTGCTCTCTAATAAATAAATAAATAGAATCTTTAAAAAAAAAATTATAAACAGACTAAGAGTGAAGAAAATAAAGAAAAATCAGGATAGAAAGTTATATCATGAAGATGAAGAAAAAAGGGGGTGACCAGCATCAAATGAGGTAAAAAGGTAAATGCGGATTCAGAGAGCAAGCAGTGGAAAGGGGTTGGGGTGGGTCTCACTACTCAGTATATAGACTTTCTCATTTAATCTTTTTTTTGCTTGACCTGGTGTGCCTAAATCTCCTCTGGTTCAAACTCTACCAATTCTAGGGGTAAGCTACTCACTTGGTTATTTGTCCTAAGGATGGTGACCTAGATCTAGAAGTCTAACTACTCTGTACAGATTTTCAATCAATCCTCTGGTCTTTCCTTCCACACCCTCCCATTGATGTGACATCTGCAATTTAGGAGTCTGTAGTATAATAAGGCATGTTTTTGGGTCTTTGTCTCCTGTTCCTAGCAAAGAGCTCCTAAAACCTTTGGAATTTCCTGAATGATAGGAGTATCTTTTGTTATTCAGGAGGCCCCCCTTTTTTTGGGGGGGTGCAGAGGGAGAGAATCTTTTTTTTTTTTTAATTTTTTTAAAGATTTTATTTATTTGACAGAGAGAGAGAGAGGACAAGCAGGGGGAGCAGCAGACTCTCCACTGAGGAGGGAGCCTGGTGTAGCATTCGATCCCAGGTTCCCAGGATCATGACCTGAGCTGAAGGCAGACACTTAACGACTGAGCCACCCAGGTGCCCCTGGGAGAGAGAGAATCTTAAGCAAGCTCCATGCCCAGCCCACCTTGGGGGCTCAATCTCATGACCCTGAGATCATGACCTGAGCCGAAATCAAGAGTCAGACACTTAACCGACTTAGCCACCCAGGTGCCCCCAAGAGGCTCCTTTTTTGAGTACACTTGAGTTTATGCTAATAAATAATTTGGGGGAGGGCCCCTCGATAGCCTCAGAATGGTGCTGGTCACCAGAAAGACCAAGTGACTAGAGGGTTAGGACTTTCAGCCCCACCCACAGACCTCCAGGAAAGGGAGAGGGGGATTAGAGATTAAGCTCTATAAAAACTCTTAAGGACTACATAAAAAACTAATGTCTGGTGATTAACATAACAATAAAAAACTTTAAAAAAACTCTTAAGGAAATTTGGTGAGTTTCTGGGTTGGTGAACATCATGGAGGTGCTGGGAGGGTGGTGCATAGAGGGCATGGAAATCCTGTGCCCCTTCCCCCTTTCTTTGCCTATTCATCTTTCCATGTGGCTGTTGTGTTATCCTTTATAACAAATCAATAAACGTAAGTAAATATTTCCCTAAGTTCTGTGAGTTGTTCTAGCAAATTACTGAACTAGAGAAGGGAGTCATGGGAACTCCAATTTATGGCTATTTGGTCAGAAGTACAAGTAACAATCTGGACTTGCAATTGGCATCTGAGGCAGAGGTAGTCTTGAGGGCTGAGTCAGGGTTCTCCAGAGAAACAGAATCAATAGGAAAGACAGTTGATAGATAGGTAGATGATAGATAGATGAGATTTACTGTAGGAATTGGCTCAGATGGTTATGGAGGGCAAGAAGTCCTACGCCTGCTGTCTGCAAGCTTTAGAAATAGGAAAGCTGGTGATAAAATTCCATTTGAGTCTGAATGATGCAGACAGGCCTGGTCCGAGGACCTAGAGAGGGGGTCCCACAGGCCTAGCCAAGAGGGTCCTTGGCTTCTTGCAGGATGGAAATCAAATGAGCCAGCAGAAGTGAAAACAGAGTTTATTGAAGATATGTATGTAGAGACAGAGAGATATAGACAAGAGTATCCTGGAGACTCAGAAAGGTAAAAGCATGAGTCTTGTCTTTGCTTGGGGCCTGGGGTTTTTATTGCCAATTGTGGTCTGATGCACAGTCTTTAACCTCTGGGATCTGATGCTGTCTCCAGGTAGGTAGTGTCATAATTGAGTTAAATTTGTAGGACACCCAGTCAGTGTCCACTGGAAATTGGAGAATTGATGTGGGATAATCCCCCCACATCTGGTGTCAAAAGTATTGAGAGTAGAGTGAGGAAAACAGAATTTTCCTTTACGGAGACTTCCTGGAGTTCTGAATTATGAATTACTGTACTTCTAATTGCCATTCCCCTCTGCATTCAGCTTTCTTAGTTCTTTTTGTTTGTTTGTTTCTAACAATTTCTTTATCCTCTTTCTTTCTTCCACTAAGAATACTCCAACTCTCTCATTCCCTTTCCCACTTTCTTAGTCCTTGTGGGTTTTTATATTTTCTCATTTCAGTGGGGTTTCATAGGGAAACAAGACAAATATGTTTGATCTCTCATGTTAAAAGTCACTCTGTAGAATATGTTTTAAAAATTATGAATTCTTTTAAAATCAATTATGTGGTTATAAAATACTTAAGTGATATCTTTTCTTTTCAATACAGTAGGTCTCCCTTACCCACAGTTTCACTTTCTGAGATTTCAGTTACCAAGGCAATCCTTAGATCAATCCTAAGGCAGATGATCCTTCTCCTGATGTATAGTCAGGTCAATAGGCTAATTTAGCCTAATGCCACATCACAATACAAACATCATTCACTTCACTTCATGTCATCCCATAGGCATTTTACCATCTCACATCCTCAGAAAAAGGGTGAGTACCAGAATAAGGTATTTTGAGAGAGACCAACATTCATGTAACTTTTATTACAGTATATTCTTGTAATTGTTCTATCTTATTACTTATTAATCTCTTGCTGTGCCTAATTTATAAATTAAACTTTATCATAGCTATGTATGCATAGGAAAAAAACAGTATATATAGGGCTTGGTACCATTGCCAGTTTCAGGCATTTAGTGGGGGTCTTGAACGTGTGCCCTGCAGATAAAGGGGCAGTACTGAATCTTTGTTTTTTTTCTGATTAGAAATGTTTGCTCATTGGGGCGCCTGGGTGGCTCAGTGGGTTAAGCGTCTGCCTTGGGCTCAGGTCACGATCCTGGGGTCCTGGGATTGCGCCCCACATCAGGCTCCCCTGGCTCAGCCTTTTCAGAATTTTGATGGCCTTTTTCATTTTTCTCCCTCTTCCCCTCCCCCCTGCTCATGCTTTCGCTCTCTCTCCCTCTCTCTCAAATGAATAAATTAAAAAAAAGTAATTATATTCAAACTTTTGCCATTTTTGAAATAAAATTTTCATTTCATTTAATAATCCAAGAATTAAAAAAAATTCCAAGAATAGTAAAAGGCTCTCTGATAGCTACAGATTAAAAGAATTTTAAAATTGTAATAGTCAAAGAATCAATAGAATCTAGCATACAGTTTCCATCACCTTAATTATATAATTTGTGTTTAAGACAGGTACTTAAGCCTTAAGAGTTTCATAGATGAGCAAACTCTTAATTTTCCCTTTTAACATCATTCTAGAAATCTTTGATCTGCAAGCCTTGCCCGGTTTTCAGGCCTCCAGCTGAGGTGTTATTTCCCCAAAACTTTGTGTGGTTCCTGTCCAGAGCAAACGGAGCAGGGAGGAAAGGGAGAAGCAGGATCCCCCCTGAGCAGGGAGCCCCATGAGGGGTTGGATCCCAGGACCCCGAGATCATGACCTGAGCCGTAGACAGACACTTAACTAACTGAGCCACTCAGGGTAACAAATCAGGGACCTATTTTCTACACGGTAATTCACAAAGATTGCCTTAAAAGAGTTCATGTCAACCTTTCCACCTAAATGTCCTATTGATACCTCAAACCCAAAGATAATTTATTTTGAATGATAATCATTCAAAAATTGGTTATCAACTTTCAACCCAAACATAAGCTTAGTCAGTTCTATCTGGTTCCTACCCGAGTACTGGGGCGTGGGCCTGTTCATCTGTCGGGCCTCTCCACCTAACCGTCTCTCTTAGCCGTTTCGCTGTCCAAGAGAGCTCCTCGAAGGATTATTCGGTGCTGTCGGTCCCTCCCCTCCCTCCTTCCCTGCCCTTGGCTACCCAGGCAGCGGCCGGTAGCTGACCCGACCCTTCAGCCTGGGCCTCGCCTTGCCTTCCTCCTCCTCAGCAGTCCCACGCCTGCAGTGGCCTCGAGGGGAACCTCGCTTGACTCCTGCAGCCCACTCACCACGGGTGCGAGAAAGACTAAGCCTCGTCCAACTCAAGGACAAGCGTGAACCACTCCCCTCCCTCCGCCCAGTTCCCAGACAGGAGACTCCACAAGGGCGTGAGGGAAACGGGTCGGCGCGCGCCTACGGCTTTGCGCACGCGCGCGCTCCCACCCGCCCAGCCGGCGCGCGCCGGGCCTGAGGAGCCGGGCCAATCAGAGCGTGCCTCGCCTCTACGCCCCCAGCTCCGCGCGCGTCCGTCTCCTTTAAGGGCGGCTTTCGAATACAATAGCCTGCTAGCCTACATTCCCTTTCCTGTATACTCTTCAGTCGTCGCCCATAGAAACGCCCTCGAAGACCCTCCCGAGGGAGGGAAAGCGCGTGGTGGGGGAAAGGTAGGAAGTGAGGAAGGCTTTTTCGCTTTCAAGAAAACCCCTTTCACCCCCCGCTCGCCTCTCGGGTTAGAAACGTCCGTACACCGGCTTAAGTCAATAGCAAATGTTGTGTTAAAGGAAAGCGGTATTAGTTTTTCTTTCAAATAATAAGTTCTCGTGAAGTAATGCGCCTCCGTGCGTTACCCAGAATTCCCGAGGTCCCGCGTGGCGTGTTTCCGGTCTGCGTGCTGCCCGGGAGCAGCAAGGCGAGGCTCCAGCGTTCGCGAGCCTTTTCACCGTGCCCCGCTGCTGTGGGTCCTCGCCCAGTGCCCGCTTTCCCCCACAAAGTATTTTATGTATTTTTGTATTTTATGACTGTAAGAAGAAAACTGCTTTCAAAAAGTGCCTGCTCCCAGCAAAACTGATAGTAAGTACATAAATGTTTATAAAAGAAAGTTGAACTCACCACTCACCCACAACCTCACCACCCAGAAATAACAGTATTAACACCCTTCTATATAAACTTGGGAAACTTCACATATACACATAAAGTGTTGTTTTTTGTTTTTGTTTTTGTTTTTAAGGCAATAGTGTCTCATAGCTTTCCAGGTAAATTTAAATAATCATTTTTAATGACTGTATGGATATAAGGCCATTTAATGGTTGTATGGATATAATTTGTTCAACCAGTCCCTAAATTGTTGGACTTTTAGGGTATTTACAGTTTTTCACGTGTACAAACAATACTAGATGTCATCAAAAAGAATGAAATCTTGCCATTTGCAATGATGTGGATGGAGTTAGAGTGTATTATGCTAAGTAAGTCAATCAGAGAAAGATAAATACCATATGATTTCACTCATGTGGAATTTAAGAAACAAAACAGATGAACATAGAAGGGAGGGAAAGGAGAGGGAGGCAAACCATAAGAGACTCTTACCTATAGAGAACAAACTGAGGGCTGCCGGAGGGAAGTGGGTGGAGGATGGGCAAAATGGGTGATGGGTATTAAGGAGGGCACCTGTGATGAGCACTGGGTGTTAAAGACTATTTATTTATTTTGAGAGAGAGAGAGTGTGTGTGTATGCAAGCAGGATAGGAGCAGAGGGAGAGGGAGAGAGAAAATCCCAAGCAGGCTCTGTGCTCACTGAGCACGGAATACCATGCGGGGCTTGATCTCACTACCCTGGGATCATGACCTGAGGGGAAATCAAGAGTCTGCTGCTTAACTGACTGAGCCACCCAGGTGTCCCTGTACTGGGTGTTATATGTGAGTGATGAATCACTAAATTCTACTTCTGAAGCCAGTATTACCCTACATGTTAACTAACTAGAATTTAAATAAAAACTTAAAAAATAATCATACTCATTAAAAAAACACTATGTGATTATTCTTGTACATAAACTTGTACATATTCCTGATTATTTCCTTTTTTTAATTTTTTTTTTTTTTTTGATTAATTTTTTTTTTTTTGACAGATTGTGACAGCTAGAGGGGGAACACAAGCAGGGGGAGTGGGAGAGGGAGAAGCAGGCTTCCTGCTGAGCAAGGAGCCGGATGCGGCGCTCGATCCCAGAACCCTGGGATCCTGACCTGAGCGGAAGGCAGGTGCTTAACGACTGAGCCACCCAGGTGCCCCTGATTATTTCCTTATAATAATTTCGTGGAAATATAATTACTGGATCAAAGGAATGCACTCCTATAAGATGCTAGATGATGTTACCAGACTCTCCCCTTGGAATGTATTTATTACTTTTCCACCTGTGTCTTATCTTGTTGCTAATCTTGAGTACTGTCAGGCTTTGAGATCTTTATCACCTTTTGAACATTTTTATCATCTTTGTCATCTTGTTTTAATTTGCATTTTGTTGACTAAGTATAAAACAACATCATTCATATATTTATTGGCTCTATTTTGTGCATTGCCAGTAAATTACTCCTGTTTTAAAATTGAAGTATTTACATTTAAATATTACAAGTGTTTTTGTATATCAGGAATATTAACCTTTGTCTGAAATATAATTACAAATATTATTACCATATTTTTAAAGATTTTATTTATTTCACACAGAGAGCTTCAGAGAGCACAAGCAGTGGGGGGGAGGGGTAGTGGGAGAATCAGGCTCCCCACTGAACTGGGAGCCCAATGTGGGGCACAATCCCAGGACCCTGGGATCATGACCTGAGCCGAAGGCAGACGTTTAACCCACTGAGCCACCCAGGCACCCCATTATTACCATTTTTTAATTCATTTTTTAATATGGCCTGTGGTGGTCATTTGCTGAAGGAAAAAAAAAGTCTTACAAAAAGAAAGAACATGATGCCAGATGGACTAACATAGCAAAGAATACAATTCATCTCTAAGTTATTTGTATATTCAAAGTTTATTTATTTTTAAAGATTTTATTTATTATTTATTTGACAGAGAGCACAAGCAGGGGGAGAGGGAGAAGCAGACTCCCCGCTGAGCAGAAAGCCGGATGTGGGGCTCGCTCCCAGGACCCTGGGATCATGACCTGAGCTGAAGGCAGATGCTTAACCAACTGAGCCACCCAGGCACCCCGAAAAATTTAAATGCAAAAAAAATATAGATCTCAAGAAAATGATACTAAAATTCACTTGAGAAAGTACAGTTGACCCTTGAACAACACAGATTTGAACTGCTTCCATCCACTTATATGTGGATTTTTTGGGGATACAATACAGTACTGTAAATGTATTTTCTCTTCCTTATGATTTTCTTAATATTTTTCTCTGGCTTTATTGTAAGAATACAGTATATAATACATATAACATGCAAAATATGTCTTAACAGTTTATGTTGTCAGTAAGGGCAGTCAGTTTATTATTAATAAAGTTTTTTGGGGTGCCTGGGTGGCTCAGTTGGTTAGGCATCCAACTCTTGACCTCAGCTCAGGTCTTGATCTCAGGGTCGTGAATTCAGGCCCTGTGTTGGGCTCCACATTGGGCATGGAGCCTACTTAAAAAATAATAATAGGGGCGCCTGGGTGGCTCAGTCATTAAGCGTCTGCCTTTGGCTCAGGTCATGATCCCAGGGTCCTGGATCAAGCCCAGCATTGGGCTTCCTGCTTGGGGGGAAGCCTGCTTCTCCCTCTCCCACTCCCCCTGCTTGTGTTCCTGCTCTTGCTATCTCTCTCTGTCAAATAAATAAATAAAATCTTTTAAAAATAAT